ATCATAACAGAATCCAACTGTCTAGTTTAGCTTAGGCTCAATGTCGTATGATCCTGCATATGACATCTTGTTCGACATGTTTCTCCAGATGTTGAAACATTTCAACTCAACATGTTCTTCATAAAATAGGACTGCTTTCTCAACCCGCTCTTTATAACAAGTAATCATATCCTATTTAACATATTGCTGCTATATTTGTTTTACTAAAATTAATGATAATCCTAAAAATAGAGAACTAACAATAACCAAAGCAAAACTTGTTTTTTTTGGCAAAGCTCAATAAACCATAACAGAGATTTTATGAATGATTTATCTCAAGAACCAAACTCAATCCTCTTAAGAGTATCACACTTCGAAGAATTAAAAAACAACACGACCACTTACACAACTCTTCCTCTTAAGCAAAGTTTCACTCGTAAGCACTAAGGCAATTTTAAGTGAAAGAAATATTTTCTAGAGAGATGGAGAGAAAATTTAGAGAGATAAATTCCAAGAAAAATGTAAATCGTTGGAAAGTGGTATGAAAAGAAGTTGAGGCTAGCCTTCTTTATATAGGAGTTGGAAATAGCAAAAAAAGGAAATGATCCATGGACTGGTTTAATGAGCCAATCGATTGGCACAAAGCTACAATCGATTAACCAATTCATTTTTAATTGATTAGCAAGCCCAAATAGGAAATATTGGATATAGAGTCGTTGCAAGTCATTAATGTGTTATCCTAATTGCTTGGTTAATAAATTATCACTTTTCTAATTAATTGTCTTAATGCTTCAATCAATTGGTTGGCTCAAAAAAGTTTTTTCAATCGATTGGTACAACTTACCAATTGATTAGTTAGTTCAAAAATAGTGTAGAAAAGGTTTGGACAACTTTTTAATCACTTGTCTTGGCTTAGAAGATAATTTTCAAAATAAAAGTGTGTGTGTGTGTGTGTGTGTGTGTGTATGTGTGTGTGAATCCTTAGTACTTCTAAGTTACCTCCTTACTTTCATAAAACTCGGTTCACTCAGACAGACAGACAGACCTAACCTAGCGAGCTTTCACACATTATTTGTGGCTTCAAGATTCTTTGCTAGATTGCTTTTGGTCATATAAGCACTTTAATCTTGAGTATCTTTTTGTTAAGGAGACATGCAGTCTTTCTCTCGTTAGATCACCATCATTAAGGTTGAAACCTATTGTCACTGACTTTAATAATCATTGTTGTCATCAAAACATCAGAGAGATCTTTTGAGGGATTGTAAACTTTATACCTGCAAGCACATATATCCATATTCTCCCCCTTTTTGATGATGTCAACACATCTCTTAAGGGAGCTGATAAAATAAACAAACAAGTATATTTGGAGTGATTAACCCCCCCCCCCCTTAATTAAGTAGAGAGTATACTTTACTCCCTCTGTGAGTATACTTTTCCCCCTTTGTCATAACCAAAAAGGTAAAAAATAATTTAAGCACATAGATTCCATGTAAAAGGAACAAGTTATCTTATATAGTTGGATAGGAGAAGTCCAGACTATGGAGTAAAAAATAGGATCTATGTTTTTATTTCTCTCCATGGAGGGTAGCATCCAACTTTGAAATCACCCGGTAGGTAAGCTTCCGAGATATGCTTCCCCTTTATTATTTATCAAACATAACTCAAAAGACTTTGAAGCTTTCTAAATTGAAAGGGATTTTTGTTGTCTACTCTTTTCTTTCTCAAATTTCTCAAAGAGATGATTATTTCCCCTTAGAAGTGTTTTGGACAACCTCTTATTACTTACATTTGGTCTTAGACTAATTTTGGGTTTTAGATGTACTGCATTTGGAACCCTAGAGAATCAATCATTGTTTTATCTATTAAGTGTACTACCTCAAAATCTCAATGCAACTTGAGAAGTTTCTCCTTTCGAGGGAATTTCAAATTTCCTTCTCTACAAATTATTTGATATGGGGGTTAGTCCAACTATTGAACTAATAAATCCATTACAAATATATCATCTTATCCTTTTTATAGGTTCCATGATTGCATCTGTTAAATGACACTACCAATGTCAACACCTAAGATAGTACAAAATGCTCTCCCATCTTTCGATTTTAATATGCATCATATTAAAAATTTCATTGCACAAGGATTTTTAGTAGCACCGAATCAACAAAAGCATGCACAATAAAAATATGCTAGGTTTAAAAAAGAGTTGTATCATCCTTTCTTCTGGGAAACTTGTTTTCAAATAGGAAATTGCTCAGACTATCAAATTGTAGAGAGCCACATTACTACAAAACCTTTGGTAATACCATATTACAACATTCGTTTAGTTAAACCATGGTAATACCTTATGTTCGGGCGTGTTTTTTTTAATATTTACTAAAATACATTTCATTACGGTCTTTATAACCAAGC